GAGAGAGAGAGAGAGAGAGAGAGAGAGAGAGAGAGAGAGAGATTCTTTCAAGGAAAGGAAAGTCAGAGAAAAAATGGAGAGCAGCCATATGAGCAACTTGAAATGGCAGAGCCTGGTGCCATGGCAGGGACACCTTTGAGAACAAGCCCCGAACCCCCATTTGACTACATGCTCAGAAACACAGCATCTCGTATAACAACCTAAAAGTTAGGTTTCACACCTCTAAGATTAGGATGTGTTCTCCCTGAGGTGTGGGGTGTTTTCTAGAACATAAAGCCATCCTGCCAACTTCTTATACGTGAAATCATTATACTAACAAATGGGCCCTGAGAAGTCATGCTTTGTTCCTTACGTCCTAGGTGGAAAACTCCTGTGGAAATTTCCTCAGTCTGAGCCAAGAGCTATAAAGCCACTGTTCCTCTTATACTAAGAGCTACTGGCTATCCGGGTGCCCCAGGCAAGCCCAGTGAGGCCAAGATCAGCTTGCTCCCAGGGCTAGCAGCTGGGGAAAGCTTGTCTGCACACAGGACCCTAGTCTTCCTTTAATATCCAGGAATTTAGGTTCAGACAAGGAGAATAGGAACAAGTCCTGTTGCTCTGCTGTTTTTCTCCCACTGCAAAATTATAGGCCCACTAGATTCTGTCGTGGTGCCTCTCAGGCCTTTCCTCCCCTGCTCTGTGTCGAGCATGATTTCATTACAGATCACATGCAACTCTGGAGGAGCTAGCAAAAGCTTGAGGATCTCAGTTCCAGGAACATGTACCCACATGGGAGAAAGGACATTTGCCTCACTTTCAAGAGGAGATGAGAAAAACCAATAACTCGTAGCAGGTGTGCTGAATTAGCAAGAGGAGGTTGACTTGTAATCAAAGTTAAGCGAGCAATGGTTTTTTGAACTCTTAAACCCAGGAAATGAGCTTGCCAATCTGCTGTACTGGAGAGATAGCATCTTGGCACCCCTGGGAAACAGGGTTCTGACAAACATATTATTGCACTCATTCTCATATCTATAAGAACGTCTTTAAGATTATTAGAAATTCTTGGGGCTGGGATGGGGCTGGGACTCAGTGGCAGAGCACTTGCCTAGCATTGGTGAGGCACTCACTGGGTTCGATCCTCAGCAACACATAAAAAAAATATATAAATAAAATAAAGTTATTTTATTAAAGAAATTCTTGAGAAAGCACAGGTACCCACCTGCAAAAATCTTAGTGCCTCCATTATGATTTTTTGAAAGTTTATGCCGGCCCACACCAATCCTGTCTTTTCCCCCAGCGGTTACCATTTTGGGACAATCATGTTTAATGAAATATTTCATATATAACAGCACTGGCCACCTCAAGCAGGAGTGTCATCTACGGGCTTCTTCACCCCAGCTCCTTCTGTTCCATTTAGATTGTCCTTGCAGAAGATCCATTATCCCCATAATTAAACAACCCACTGTCCCAATTAAGTCATTCTCTGTTACTTCAATTACATCCCATTGTTCATTAAATCCTGATGTTTGCACTTCAGCAATCTTGTTTTTAATACTCCTAGCATTTGTGGAGAAACAGTGAAGTTAATTAACAATTCTTGAGATTTTTTTTTCTTTTTCTTTCTACCATACTGCATATCATTTCCATTATGACTTGCAATAATACTGAAACCATTACTAACTTCATAGTTAGTGTTCTGAGCTTCCTGATCAAAGAGTGAAACCATTTTTTATAATCATGTTAGGTAAGTCATTCCCTAGTTGATGGCAAGCCGTGGAAAATGAAAAATTAACTTTAAATGGGTGCATTAAATGGCTTTCCTCTCCATATTCTTTCTTCTCACGTCTGTAATCTTGAAATTA